AGTTGAAGTTGCAATCGACTTGTTGGTTCACAAGCCGGCCATGATCGTGTAAAATGGCTTCATCGTAGATCGATTAGTTTCTGAGATATATAACTGCGAGAGCCGTACCTACCGGGCTTCTCAAAAAAGTTAGACGGATTTCTTTTGCGAATAGAGGACCCCTAACAACATTTAAGCAAAATCAATGCTCGTGGAAAAAGGGAGAATTTTTCGTAGATTTATATGACACCATGGTTTGAGCTTAAAGAATGAAGCCGTGGTCTTAGGAAGTACCTAAAAGCAAAACTCGTGAAATTATGCTTTCCCAGACTAAGTCGGTCGGTTCGACACCACGGAAGATCCGCAAACTCTTAAGGCCAAAGAGGGCATCATCTTGAAACAAAATTTTCCACATTATTGACAAGTTTCTGGCTCGAGGAAGTGTTCACAATAGGTTCACGCAATTTAGGAACACAGCGGCGGCCATAAACCCAATCAAAGGCTCACGGCGAACACCACTCGTGTGAGAGATGCGATACTCAGACTGTCAATGGTCAGCGATATCGGGTGGCTCTGGCGACGTTTTGGAGGGTTCTGCAATATCAGGATGAGCAGAGACCAATGGTTCCAGCAAGACGGTGCCACGCCAATACCGCTAAAGTAAACCGGGAAGGGCTGTGGGAGCGCTTCGGGGCAGCGCGTGATCTCGAGATTCGAGACACGCCCGTGGTCGGCGAATTCTCCGAACGTAACCCCACCGGACTTTTACCGAACGAAACCACCCAAAAAGCTCCGAAGATCAGGATGCAGTGAAGTCAGCGGTGTGCCGTCTGAAGCTTTCCGTGGGTCGTGCTGCAGCAGAGGTCGCGCTGCGCCGGGCTAAACTGTGCATCGAGCAAAAAGGGAATCATCTCGAACATGACCTCGGCGCGGCTCAGAAAGGCGACTGCCGATGATCGAAATCCCCTCAAACCAAATGTCTTAGATGAGGCTTTTAGGTGATACCCAATTATGTTTTGTTACACTGATAGGTACACCCTTCAATACGTTAGTTATAAAATCGTCCAACTTTTTTGAGAAGCCCGGTACTTATGCATAGACGCTAGATATTTATAGGCTGGTACGGTCTGTTGTTAGCCGGTAGGGTCTGTGAAAAGTGAAAAAATAGGTGAAACTTTGAGCCGAGCTGGGCAAGGAGCTGGGGTACCCTGGCGCAACCAATTCGCCCCCCCCCCCCTTCGCTGAGCTTTCACGTTGACATCCGCCGTCTGTTGCGGCTCCATGAAAGTCAAACTGGCATGGAATTGGGACTTGGAGAGCTCGGGCGATGGGCATCCCCAGCTCGGCACAAAGTTCCAGCTATGAGTGATAAGATTGCATTGCATTGCATCATGCATGCCGACTGGTGGGCAGCGGCCACCGTTAACGTTAAATGATTTACTTCCAACCTACCGGAGGACGCCCCCCCCCCCCCACTCAATCTCGGTACCTACTATATTTATATACTTAATTTATTAATCAACGGGACTAACAAGAAACGAAGTAGCATCAAATGATCTCGGCTCCGTCCAACAACCAACCACGGCGGGGACCCTGGCTGAGATAATGCCTATGGATCCGGAACTTGTCAGGCCATTGACTACAATTCAAAAATAACACAGTTGACTGACAGTGGTGTTCGTTGACTGTCAAAAATGCACTGATGATCGTCATCGCTCGACATTTGATATTTCTGCACGAGGCATTGTAGGGGAGCATGGCGCAACTTGGGTCTTGGCCGCTTTTTTAGAAAGCGTCGTACCTACACGTAGTATACCTATCTTAAAATTGGCGACATATTTCTGTACTCGCTCGACGCTGGCAGGTGTCACATTCATTTTACTTTGCCGTACAGTGAACTGAAAATGATAGAGCTACTACTTATACTTAATTTTGACGTTTTACAAAGGTCTCCAAAGCGGCCAAATTACCACTCTTGCACGGTTATTTGGCCGGTGGGGTGGGGCAATTTGGCCGGTGTTAATTTGACAGCCTGGATTTTATGTTACAGGTGAGTTAGCTTCAGCGTCAGCAATGACGTGTGTCCTAGTACTACGCATTTTTTTAGGTTGACTCGGTGTCGGACTTATATTCGAATGGCTTTGACTCAGGTCTTGTCAGCGATTTTAACATTTTCCTGCGTAGCTGATAATGCGCTTACTTTGCACACACTGCTCAATGAAACTTTCGCATTAATTTGTCATAAAAAATTCACATTGTAACTTGTAGTCATAGGCGGCGGAACGAGGGGGCACCGGGGCACCGCGCCCCCTTTGATTTTGGCACTTAATCTTAAACATTAGCCCTATGGGCATTGCATGGAAAGAATGGGACCAAAAGTCGCCAGTGCCCCCCTTAATTGAAGGTCTTCCGCCGCCACTGCTTGTAGTTAGTGAGGGTGCATTGTTTGGAAAACATGTTAGCATTTATTTTAGTTAAGGAATAATCAACTAATTTCAATTCAAATTTCTTTGCAATCAATGAAATAACTCAACTCAGTATCAAACCCTCACATCTTGTAACCCTCCCATATCCGCAAACATGTTTTCGATACTTTTTGCGATCTGCAGAGTGCAGATGCGACTATCAGTTTGATTTGAGCAAATCCCTGGCTTATTCGTATTACGTTGTGCAGTGTCTTGACCAGCCCCTAGAAGGCAGACTGTGCCGCAGTGCCACCGCCGGCGGCTGTGAAGTGTGAACCCATGACCAGCTCGGCACCAGCGAGCTTTGCAACTCGGCTGTCCCAGCATAGCGATCGGCTGAGAGCACCGGGAAAACTGCTCCACTAACCCCGGCCAAATTACCCCGCATTGCCATTCTGAAAAAAAAAATATCTATAAAGTCGTTACGGTTTTACGGAAACAGGGGAAATTGCCCCTGGAAACGCGAAACACCCCCTAGAATGGCGCCACAACGTCGGAATTCGTTTACAGCCCAAATATTACATGATATACATTTTTTCCTAAATGGAAGTAAAACTTGCCATTTTCTAATGAAATTCGACTTTTATTGATTTTGAAGAATAAAAGGCGAATAAAAATTACGAGGGGAGAGTTTTGAAAATTTTCCACGGATTAGCTCCACCAATGACACATAAATAGAGGCTAGAGTTATTACCTTCACTTTTGTCAGATATCGTACATATGGGGGGGGGCGGCCAAAGCCCAAATTATACTGCCGGCCAAATTACCCCCTCCTCTACTACCTAATTTCTAAATTCATTTACCCGTGAGCTGTTGCCAGTCTCTCTGTTCTAGTGAGTTGCCCGTTTCATGTATGCGCGTGAAACAGTGAAACGGCCATTCCCCAATCACGCTCAGGTCTCTCATCTGCCCGATACTTCTTTTTCGCACGGATAGGCCAGGCAGTGAAATCAGAAAGCTCGGCGAGTGAGCTGCACGTATGACCCGTTAATTCCCATGGTTGCCGGTGTCTGCCAAGTGCCACGGCCACTGTATGGTCGGTTATACGGGAGCTTGGGTAGCAGCCGGTATGTGTCTTTGTGCCTCGAGCGACTCTTCATTAGTGAGAGTGGGTCATCCGAGCTGCTCGTCTCGCCGGCTCAAAAGTTGAGTGCTGGACATTGGCCTGTAGAGTGTTGAGCTGCAGCCTCGGATCGGTCCGAACAATAGCCCTCATATACGGGGAGAGGCGGCTTGGCCGTAACCGTGAGGGGCTATAGGAGCATGCCATTACCGGCTCGCAGTGTTCATGCATACTGCAAAGCTATGCATGCTGCATACTGCATCCTCCACAATGCATATTGGAGCAGGCAGTACACATAGTTGTGCCTGTGCAGGTGCATAATTCTTCGGACATCTTCGGATCATAATTGCGCCCTCATGTGCAGGCTGTAATCGATGGAACCGGCAAAAAAGCTCGAGCGAGCAACTGAATCTGATATATGTCGCTAGATGTTGATAAACGTACTGATTTCGTGACCCTCGAGCTACAGGTTCGTTGAGCTACCATCTTTGAGCAGCCTGCATCATTTCACATAGCAAACGAAACGATCAGAGTGAAGGTGAAATCAGACAGCATGAGAGACATAATTTGTCCGTCTGCAGATCTTTATGGTTTTATACAACAGTACAGACGACCTAACCGTTTAGGCATATAACTTCTACGGCTTCAGACTGATAATGACGGCATACCGCGCCTATCAAATGGCTATAAAATGGCTGTGACACAGCCTACGGGCGATAAGACTGAATGTAGGTATAACCGCATATACCTATAACAACTTCGGCTTCGGACGGATACCTACTGACGGTATAACTGTCTGCATATGTTATAATATTTCATCCCTAAAAACAGAACCACTGCAAACTGCAACGCTTCTCCATTCAGTTTACATTTCCGTCTCAGCAAAAATACGTTTGGATCAATGATATCTCTAGATCGTTACGTTCCCTCTCCTTCTCCGTTCTCCTCTGTGGTCGTTTCCCGTTCTCTCTCCATTCACTATGTTCCCCCCTCTCTCTCTCTCTCTCTCTCTCTCTCTCTCTCTCTCTCTCTCTCTCTCGCTCTCTCTCTCTCCCCTCTCTCTCCCTCACTCTCTCTCTCTCTCGCCCCCTCTGTGTCTCTCACCCCCCTCTCTCTCTCTCTCTGTCTCTCTGTCTCTTTCTCTGTCTCTCTGTCTCTCTGTCTCTGTCTGTCCTCTGTCTGTCTGTCTGTCTCTCTCTCTCTCTCTCTCTCTCTCTCTCTCTCTCTCTCTCTCTCTCTCTCTCTCTCTCTCTCTCTCTCTCTCTCTCTCTCTCTCTCTATCTCTCTCTCTCTCTCTCTCTCTCTCTCTCTCTCTCTCTCTCTCTCTCTCTCTCTCTCCCTCTCTCTCGCTCGCTCGCTCGCTCTCTCAAAGTGTTTGTATATAGGCTCGAAGACTTAATGCCTTCAAGGCTTTATTCAAGGATTTTATACAAGTGCTATTTCAGAACATTTACAATTACCTATCGGTATTCCTCGCTGTTCAAAAGAAAGTATGGTGTTGTGCATCATTCTATTGTTACACACATTTTTCAATTGTTAGGTACATATATCTATTTGAAACTAGGTCATAAAAACAAGCTACCTTCGACGGCTCTGAGCTCTTACGCAGAACTAGTAAGTTTTATATATTCAGTCAGTTCACTACTACTACATTTCCCGCTTTCTATGCACTATGCCCGTCCTCTATGGACGGACGCCGAACTGTAAATCTGTTCAGCGGGACCGCTGTCTGCCGGCTGTCCCGTTAGTGGAGCGCCTGCTGGACGGCGTCGATGCCGTGTGTCCAGGTCTGGAACCGGTCGAAGGCGCGCCGACCGTGCAGACGCAGTCGGCTGATGCCGCCGTCTGGCGACATGGTGACGCGCACGTACGTCACCGGCTGGTGGGGCAGCACCTCGTCACCGCTGTAGTAGTGCTGCTTGTCTGCCTCCAGCTGCCGGTCAACGGACATGACATCAGGACGCGTCTCGGAACATGTGTACAACGTGTTTTGGCTTCCTAGGTAAGCTATGGGCTGGACACTTCGGGCACATACAAAACTAGCCCTGCGGCCTGCAGGTATCAATGAAATTATATATATAGTACTGGAATCATTCATTAAACTTTGTGACCTTGACCCTAAGTCGAGCCGTAAGCGGTCTAGCCTCACCTTCTGCGGCAGCAGGATCGGCGTCCAGTTGTAGTAGGTGTCCAGCGTGTCCTCAGTGAAGCGCTCCACGTCGCAGCCCTCCACGCGCACGGCGTCCGGGAAGTTACCCTTAAAGTGACACGTGTCGACCTCGATGTTGACGATGGTGCCGCGGTGTCCGAGCCGGAAGATGGCCCACTCCTCGCCGGGCACTCGCAGCACGCCACGATGGTCGGCTGTCAGCGGAGACAGGGGGCGTCAGACGGAGGAATGGCGGACGGGATGGGGAGGTTGGAAAATGTCGGACGACTGGCAGATGTGTGAAAGGGTTTGTGGCGGTAGAAAATGAGATAGTTATCAATAATATCATATTTACCCGGGATGGTAACGGCTGGGCCTGAGCAACATGTTCGGAACCAATCGCATTTCACTCGCCCCCGGTATGCCCAATGACTTAATTAGTGACCTTATTTTAGCTCAAGACGGTTCTTATATCTGCACCATACGATGCCAATAAGTTACAAGATTGTCAAGCAGTACTGTGTGTAATGTCATTGCGTAGGTAGCCGTCTGAAGAAAGTACTCATATGAACGTTTTATGGGCGTACGCAGCGCGCCCGCACAATGCGAACCACCGCAGAGCTTTGTGTACTGCGGCACAGTATAACTTCAGGCGTCTACAACTGCTGCCATCTAGCGACGGGAGAGCAAACGACTACGCGCAAAAGTCAAGAAGTAGAAGCGCGGTGGGGCGGGACGAATATGAAAGCATGTAATGGTTACTAAATTTCGGCACTATGTATTGTATCGAGCATACAAATTCTCGATTTGTATATCTATGTAAGACGGGACTCGGATTCACGCAGCCATCGATAATTAATATTTTTGTGGTGGGCTAAATTGTATCGCTGAATACTGATTGTCTTCAGCATCTGATGCAGATGTTATCTTGTGACACATATGCAAGGAACGCATTGACGGCATTGGTACGTTCGGTAGCCAAACACACCACTTAAAAGGGACCCTCCCACCTTCAAAAAAGTTATTGAATCGGCATGCAAGTGATGTCGCTCGGTTCAGAGAGAGCAAAAACGAATATCTAACAAATTTCACCGAAAAATATTCACCGGTTTTTAAGACTTTTAACTTTTGTTTACTTTTTGGGATCCCCCTGTTACTAGCGACTTCATTTTGGAAGTGCGGCGTTTGCGGCAGATGTTGCGCGCAAATAGCATATACCACCACTGCTTCACAAAGATGTTAGTATAAGGTTTTAAAATCGTAAGATCACCGCTGACGTCACAAATTCTAAGGGGGCATTCCAATGCATTAGTCCCTTAGAATCCGAAAACTGTAAGTTTGAAATTCCATATCTCAGAATTAAAGCATTTTTCGATGTTCTGAGTGCCCCGAACCGGTATTTGCAGGCCATGGCCACCAATTGGCTATCTCAACTCAAAACTAATGTTAAGGTGGGATGGTCACTTTAAATGAGTGTTCAAAAGGTATGCCGTATATCCACTGAATAATTAAAAGCTGAATAAATTAGTTAGATAAGTAACACTACTAAACTCCATTAACTAAGAGTTCCAATGAGGGAGCAGCAAGCTGGCACACTTTCCACAAACTTAGACCGAGTTCATATCTCACATCTTGCATTTCGTCGGCCATGCAAAGTTGAGACGAGGCATGATTTGCCACATTTCGTGAAGAATAATGCGCCTTATTTGAGCTGCAAATGAGTTCATTTCCACATGGCGAACAGAGCACCGGCCTGGGAGTTGAGTCGCTGCCGGCACCTACCCTCCAGGATGGCGGGTCGGTCGAGTCGGCGCGCCGTCTCCCAGCCGTCGCCCATGTTGACGCCGCGTCCAGGCGCGATCAGGTTCCGCGGGTGACCGTAGTGGGCGTTCGAGTGCATCACGCACACACCGCCGTTCTTGGCGAGCACCAGATCCACCAGCTGTCGATAACAGAGGGGCTGGACAATCGGCTCCAGTGGCCAGAAGTACAGTAAGACGACTGCCGGAGTTAGTACGGCGAGTGGTTGAAGCTACGAAGTGGTTAGAGTGGTCAGAAGCAAGCCAGACGACTGTCACCTGCCGGCAACACAGCGCTCAGAACTCGGCTGCATGGGTAGGTGGGATGGAGCAGAGCGGTCAAACATACATGCCATGCTTATTGCCTGGTTAAAAAGGGACCCTCCTACCTTCAAAAAAGTTAATGAATTGGCATGAAAGTGATGTCGCTCGGTTCAGAAAGAGCAAAAACGAATATCTACCAAATTTCACCGAAAAATATTCACCGGTTTTCAAGATATTAGACTTTTACTTTTGTTTACTTTTTGGGATCTCCGCTGTTCCTATAGCGACTTCATTTTGGAAGTGCGGCGTTTGCGGCAGATGTTGCGCGCAAATAGCGTATATCCACCACTGCCTTACATAGACGTTAGTATAAGGTTTTAAAATCGTTAGATCACCGCTGACGTCACAAATTCTAAGGGGGCATTCGAATGCATTAGCCCCTTAGAATCCGAAAACTGCAAGTTTGAAATTCCATATCTCCGAAGTAGGTAAAGCATTTTTCGATGTTGTGAGTGCCCAAACCGGTATTTGCAAGCCATGGCCTCCAATTTGGCTATCTTAACTCAAAACTAATGTTAAGGTGGGATGGTCACTTTAAATAAAGAGTCGGCCATAGTCACGCCACTTAACACCCTATGTTTGTACCTCCGAAATAACGTTTGTATGTATATGGTTTCTTATCAAGTCAAAGAAAGGGGTCATTTGCCTTAATTTTCTAAAAACGATTGAGCTGAGAAAATAAACGGTGAAACGTATTTAAAAAATAGCTTTGCGAAACGTCCTTCATAGCGAACTACAGATAGTGAGTTTTTCTCTGGTTAAACAGAAAAAAAAATCGGCAGTAAATAGTAACTGCGTTTTACACATATAAGAGTGACCAACAAGGCATGTGCAACGTGGACATCGACTGGAAAGGCTATATTATGCATGGCAGTGACACTGATTCTTTCTGTCTTTGCAAAAACTTAAATATGAAACTATGTAATACGAGCAGTAGTAGCCTTTGCTCATGTTAATGTTCAAATAATGCACAAAATTGGATATATTAAAATAATACTGATATTTCACCTTGCGGCATCATCAGAGTGCCGCAAGGTGAAATATCAGTATTATTTTAATATATCCAATTTTGTGCATTATTTGAACATTAATATGACCAAAGGCTACTACTCCTCGTATTACATAGTATATATAACGTTGCTCATCACAGCCATCCATTTCATTAAATATGAAACGTAATATTTAAATGTTTTAAAATGCTACAACGCTAAAATCTAAGGCTGCGAGAAGTGCCCACACGTCAAGAGCAATCCTCTCTCTTCGCACTCTTTGTATCTCCAATCCTGTGCTCCTTCCTCTCTCTCTCTCTCTCTCTCTCTCTCTCTCTCTCTCTCTCTCTCTCTCTCTCTCTCTCTCTCTCTCTCTCTCTCTCTCTTTCTCTCTCTCTCTCTCTCTCTCTCTCTCTCTCTCTCTCTCTCTCTCTCTCTCTCTCTCTCTCTCTCTCTCTCTCTCTCTCTCTCTCTCTCCTCTCTCTCTCTCTGCCGTGTCTATCGTCCCTCTCGCCTCACCTCATCTGTAAAATCGTGATCCCAGGCCGGGCAGGCGTGGCCGTACACGTTTAGCCTCGCGATGCCGCCGTCTGGGAAGGCATTCAGGCGGACCACGTTGTAGACATTTCGGTCGCTGACTGGGGCGAAGTTGTGACGCGTCTGCCGGTAGCCGGCCCGCAGACGACACATCGAGGTGATTCTCTGCCAGCGCTGCAGGGAGGCGGCGGTGTGGTTATGTTACATGTGGAGGGAATGAGCTGACCTAATGTCGAAATGCATGGATCGAGTTCACGGTTTGATGTGAAGGGCATGAAGACTACAGACAGAAACACCTCGGTATGTATATTTTATTTTCATTTTAGTGCATTCCGGTAACAGTGTCATCCGTATGAACTAATTTATGACTACCTAACTTGCCGATGATCATCTCTATAGCAAAAATAAATGTGAATTGTTTATTTATACAAGCCATTACGATTTACAAGTAGGTACGTACAACACTGTAAGCAATGACGGTGAAAACAGATTTAGATCAATTTTCTTTTTTTCAAATAAAAACTTTGCCTTGGCGGCTAGCGCATCAGCCACTATCCTCAGAGTTAATTAGAGCGTTGTCCCCACCACTACATTTCTAAAATTAAGTCACATTCCTGTGGAAGGAAATTTGAATAGCTTTGAAATGTGGTGACTATTACGCTAAGTGAGACTCCAAGTGAATATGTTAATGCGTCGACGGCTAATAAAATGTAGATAAGGTGGCGTCAGGCTGGGGCGACACTTACCTCCGTTTTGAGCGCTTTTTACCGCCTTCAACTCCTCTGCTGTTGCAGCCTTGCCCTGCCCGCTGCGTCGGGGTGGAAACCGGGCGAGATCTGGCCAAAAATCAGAAACGGATTCGGTCACA